TAAGATCCTTTTGCTTGAATAAATGCTGAAGACTGCGATGATCAGTGAATACCTCACAGGATATGCCATACAAATAATGCCTCCAAATATTCAATGCATGAACTATAGCAGCTAGCTCCAAATCATGGACGGGGTAGTTCTGCTCATGGGGCTTCAACTGACGAGAAGCATAAGCAATAACTCTACCCTCCTGCATCAAAACACAACCTATCCCAACTCTGGAAGCATCGCAATATACCGTGTAAGAACCTGAAGCTGATGGTAACACCAATACTGGAGCTGTGGTCAAAGCCGTCTTGAGCTTCTGAAAGCTCTCCTCGCACTCGTCCGACCATGCAAATGAGACACCCTTCTGAGTCAACTTGGTCAAGGGCGATGCAATAGAGGAAAAACCCTGAACAAACCGGCGATAATAGCCTGCCAACCCAAGGAAACTACGAATCTCTGTGGCTGAGGATGGTCTAGGCCAACTCTGCACCGCCTCTATCTTCTTCGGATCAACCTGAATCCCCTCGCTGGACACCACGTGTCCCAAGAAAGCCACTGAACCGAGCCAGAACTCACACTTGGAGAACTTTGCATAAAGCCTCTCCTCCCTTAATCTCTGCAACACAACTCGCAAATGCTGCGCGTGCTCCTCCTGACTACGCGAGTATACCAGGATATCATCAATGAACACTATGACAAATGAATCCAGATAAGGCCGAAATACACTGTTCATCAGATGCATGAACGCTGCTGGGGCATTGGTCAGCCCGAAAGACATGACAAGAAACTCATAGTGACCATATCTAGTCCTGAAAGCAGTCTTATGAATATCTGAATCCCTGATCTTCAACTGGTGATAACCCGAACGGAGATCAATCTTGGAAAACACCTTCGCTCCTTGAAGCTGGTCAAACAAATCATCAATGCGAGGCAGGGGATACTTGTTCTTAATTGTTACCTTGTTCAATTGCCTATAATCGATGCACATTCTCATTGTGTCATCCTTCTTTTTCACAAACAGAACTGGCGCACCCCACGGTGACACACTAGGCCGAATGAACCCCTTGTCCAGGAGCTCCTGAAGCTGCTCCTTTAATTCCTTCAACTCCGCTGGTGCCATACGATATGGCGGAATAGAGATGGGCTGAGTGCCCGGCACCAGGTCAATACCAAAATCAATATCCCTGTCTGGCGGCATGCCCGGCAGGTCTGCAGGAAACACATCGGGAAAATCCCTCAACTGGGACAGAATCAATGCTAGGAGTCTCAGTTTCAACATCCCTCACAAACGCCAAGTATGAAAGACAACCCTTCCCAACCATTCGCTGGGCCTTTAGGAATGAAATCACCCTGCTAGGAACATAGTCAGTTACACCACGCCACTCGATCCGCGGTACACCCGGCATAGCCAAAGTGACTGTCTTGGCATGACAGTCTAGAATAGCATGACACGGAGATAACCAATCCATGCCCAAAATAACGTCGAAGTCCACCATGCTCAATAGCAGTAAATCAACTCGGGTCTTCAGACCCTCAATAGTCACCAAACATGACCGGTACACATGGTCTACAATAATAGTATCGCCCACCGGGGTAGATACATGAACAGGTAAAGCAAGACACCCTCGGGACGTACCCAAATGATGAGCAAAATATGAAGACACATATGAATAGGTAGAATCGGGATCAAATAATACTGAGGCGTATCTGTGATAGACTGAAACAATACCTGTAATGACAGCGTCTGAAGCAATGGCATCTGTCCTGCCCGGCATAGCGTAGAAACGAGCATGGCCACCGCCTGATCGATCTCCACCTCTGGGACGACCCCTGGCTGCCTGATCTCCACCCTTAGCTGGCTGGGCGGGTGATGAAGTAACTGGAGCAGAAGTCGAGGGCTGGCCCCTCTGCTGATGCTGTCTGCCATGAAGGCGAGGGCACTGCCTCCTCAAGTGACCAAACTCTCCGCACTCATAACAACTGCCCGGTACTGGAGATGGGGACTGATGGGAACCCCTCGTACCGGAGTGACTAGAAGATGCACTCGGCGCAGAAGAACCCTGAACTGATGGGGCATGAGATGAACTCGGAGCTGGGAGGGCGCTGAGTGAAGACTGACCCTGCTGGGGCCCATGATGACCACGGCCTGAAGATCCCCCATGATACTCTGGACGGGCCGACTGAGCAGGCCGGAAAGAACGACCTCTACCCTGCTGAAACTGGCCCCTCGAAGGAGCACCACTGTAACTGCCCGATCCACGAGTCATCTTAGCCTCCCTCTCCTCTCGCTCTCTACGGCGAACTGACTCGATCTCACGAGCGATATCCACCACCTCCTCAAAAGTAGCACCCAGTACTCTCTCTCTAGTCATCAGAATACGGAGATGGTAGTTAAGGCCATCCACAAATCTCCTAATCCTCTCACGATCTGACAGAACCATCCAAGTAGCATGACGAGCCAGCTGGGAAAACCTCATCTCGTACTGAGTCACTGTCATATCTCCCTGTGTCAACCACTCAAATTGCCTACGCAACTCCTCCCTACGGGACTGAGGTACATACTTCTCCAGAAAAAGAGCGGAGAACTGCTGCCAAGTCAGAGGTGCTGCACCGGCAGACCTACGCCTCTCAAAGTCCTCCCACCAAGTAAGAGCAGCCCCCGTGAACTGAAAGGTAGTAAATGCCACACCACTCGACTCAAGGATCCCTGCCGTATGGAGCATACGCTGACATCTGTCAAGAAAACCCTGGGCATCCTCGCCCTCAGCACCACCGAATGTCGGAGGCTGGAGTCTACCAAACCTCTCAAGACGATGCTGCTCATCGTCTGGCATAGCTGGAACCACGAAGCCCTGAGCTGGTGCAACCTGCTGAGCTGGAGGTGCCTCTGGTGTCTGTAGTCCCTACACTCCCTGCGTAGGTGCGCGGGCAACGGGGGTCTGATTGCCTCCCCCGGTCTGTGAAGTAGCTGTTGCTGCGGTGGTGGCTAAAACTGCCTGAGCCAGGCCAGTACAGACCGTTAATATCTGTGCCAAGGTCTCCTGAAGGCCCATAATCACAATAGAAACGGCTGGTGCCTGAGTAGGTGCTGCTGGAGTATCCACAGCTGGAGCCTGATCCTGAGCTGGGGCAACTAACGGGTCAGCAGGTGCTGCCCCGGCTGCTCTGCCTCTGCCACCACCACGACCACGGCCACTATTATATTCATCTACCGGGACGGACCAAGTCACAATCCCCAACGGTGCTCTACTCCACGCTCGCTACCCGGCGTGCAAGTCACCTCAATATAGCACTACGATGTGCACACACGGGGTTTCAAACCCTCAGAACAGCATTTACATCTATTACTCACCTCAAGCCGGCCAAAGTCCTAGCTCGCTATGCCCTTGCCTTTCGAATTGACCTCCTCGTGTACCGAATCTGATCAAAACTACAACGAATACATCACAATATGCTAATGGGACAATACCCAATCGAAAACAATCGAAAAATAGCTAAAATCTCGAAATTAGCAAAACCCGAGCCCCGGGCCCACTTCTCGAAAATCAGAAAATTTACCATCAACGGATTCCTTATCTCGCCGCGAGTCTATACATATGAGGAACACCAAAATCGGAGTCCAAGTGACCCCTCAAATCCCCATTTTAGCTCTCTTAAGTTCCAAACCCTAACCACCATTTTTGACCTTTGATTCCTTAATTTTTCAGTTTTAATTCATGTATTTGTACCATAAAATCGTGTTTTAGACTCAGAAATTCTTACCTCAATGAAGTCCCTTGATTTGTCTCTTCCAACTCGCCCAAATTCTCCAAGTCCGAAGTGAAAACTATGAACCCTTATGAAATTTCGCGAAGATGAAATATAACTTCACTGACCAGTTATTTCCACATCTGCGGCTCCTTAGCCGCCTCTGCGACTTCCGCTTCTGCGGTAATTGCACCGCTTCTGCGGTCTGAAACACGCACCCGCGGCTTCCGCTTCTGCGGACTAAGCTCCGCATTTGCGGATCTCATTAAATCTCCAAAACCCGCATCTGCGGTCATGTTGTCGCATCTGCGACTCCGCAGATGCGGTCACCCAATCCGCACCTGCGGTTCTCCCCGCTTCTGCGACTCTCCACCCGCTCCTGCGGTACTGCTTCTGCGGTCCCATTTCCATAGGAGCGAAAATACCAGAAGCAGCAGCAAATTCTTAAGTATTACAAGCCAAAACTTCCCGTTAGCCATCCGAAATCACCCCGAGGCCCCCGGGACCTCAACCAAAAACACAAACATGATCCAACACCTTATTCAAACTTGCTCGAATCATTAAAACACCACAAATAACACCTAAACCATCAAATTACATCAAATTCAAGCCTAAGCTCATCCAAATCTTCTGAAACTTGCATTCGATCAGAAACCTATCCAAATCACCTCCGAATGACCTGAAATTTTGCACACACATCCCAAATCACATAACGAAGCTACAACAACTCTCGGAATTCCATTCCGACCCCCGGATCAAAATCTCACCTATCGACCGGAATTCGCCAAAATACTAACTTCGCCAATTCAAACCTAATTCTACACCGGACCTCCAAAATTACTTCCGATCACACTCCTAAGTCACAAATCATCCCCCGAAGCTAACCGAATCATCGGAATTCATATCCGAGCCCTTTAACACATAAGTCAACGTCCGGTTGACTTTTCCAAAACAAACCTTCTTTAAAGAGACTAAGTGTCTCATTTCCTTCTAGAACCGCTCCAAATCAACTCGTTCACACCCAACACTGATAATGAAGCATAAAGAAATAGAAAATAGGGAAAACGGGGCGGTAACTCACGTGACGACGGGTTGGGTCGTCACAATATACATACATACATACATACATACATACTAGCAAGGCAAGCCCGTGTTACGCCCGGGCCAATACTTGCTTGACTTGGTATTTTAGGTAAGCAAAACAATCCTTTTTTTCCCGGGGTTGATAAGTAGGTTAGCCGTAGTCCTTTAACGAAGGGTATAAATACCATTAACCTATAGTAACATATACAAAAAGTATTTACATACTATCACTTTGGTTATGATTACAAAAACATGGGAGTTCAGAGACTAACATCTTTGCACGTTAATGCAAAGTTCATTTTCATCCATCTAAAGTCCTTTAGCGTCACAGGGCTTGAACTCTTTTCTCCTGAAAGAGAGTAACCTGCAAATACATATAGCAAGATAGGGCAATTTCAAACGTTAAAGCCTAAAAGTTATAGTATTTCCTTGTTTCGAAAATTATGGAATGTAAAAATAGAGCATAAAAAATTCCCAATGTGTAACATAACTTAGACTGAAAAACATATATAGCAGTTAAATATGATGTCACTTCCAGTTTGCATCTAGAAGATCCAAAATGCCACTTGACGGCCTTGAACAAAATTCAATAACCATTAATCAAAGGCAAGTACGCTCCCGAAAAGCAAAATAGAGCTTTTAAGCACGACTTTTTGGAAAAGACAACTTAGGGTCGCATTCAGTGCAAGGTTCTAAGCATCTATATAGATAAACCTTGTGGCTATCAGAACAAATATTTGTAAGCGATCAACTTATTTGAATCATATCGATATGGTAGACAACCTAGTACATAAGTCAAATAATATTGCGGAAAAGATAAAGAGTTAAAACAAAATGAAAATTACCACATTACTCATTCAAAGCACTTCTCACTCTGTTTTGGCCCTATGTTAACCTCTTAAGGCTAGTTTAGACTTTGGAGACCAGAGCTAGCACATGTACAGTATACCTACATTAGGCAAAAGAACTAAGTTAGATCAAGTAAAATATTTGCTATCTAGCAAAAGCATTTGAAGATGCATTTTTCAACTATAGTATGAGCCTTTGCTTCTCATGACATGAGTTAAACCAAATTAGGATGAAATATAATTCACCTATCTTATAGTAGTAATTAGGTTAATGTGCTCCTTAAGCTCAACACAAGTTTGTTATGCCGATCAATCTTTTAAAAAACAAGTCGCATAAACCGATTTTACTGATTTTAAAAAATCATCGCAGAACTAGTATCCAGAAAGTACTTATGCTACTTATGCCACGTGTCTTTTCAAGAAATTGTTAAGAGACAAGTACTTAAGAGCCAAGTTCTACTGGACATCTAGGCTACTTAAAAAAAAAGTTTTCGCCAGAAAGATAATATAATGTCAACAAATTAGTGACTTTGCTAGCTCACATAGTTGAGATACAACATTTAGAAATTGCATCTAGTTTTTCTCCAATTAATTCACAAGGTATTATTCATGACTAAAGACCTCGTATGTAACAGATCAACGAATCAGTAAACTAAGATCTTCCAGTCTCAATAAATAAACCATATATATACCAACCTTTAAACCACACAGATAGCAAATCCTAAGTATTTTCACATTTCTTCCATCAACCCGTTGCGTGAACATCCTTTTGGGGGAAGTCTCCTGCTAGAATTTTTTGTGTAGTAACATCCTTTGTCTTTTAGAAAATCTGCAATCCCATAGTTTCAATCCCTATGAAGCTTATTCAGAAATCTAGGAAAACACATATCATCTAGTGTAGTAACTCTGCAACAGTATTACTCATAATTTTTTGAGATTACCATAAATTTCATGACATAATTTTTTTTTAAAAAGGCACATTGACGCCCCTTATATTTGAGAATTGTTGTTCCTTAATCTGTTGATGTTGATGTACTAAATCTGTAGTATCTCGATTTGCGACATTTCTTTTCCAAATAGTTACAATTTTGTTGGATTGTAATTTGCTATAATATCAATTATGAGTTGCATCTAGTTTTCATTATTACGACAAAGTTAGATAAACAGTAGCCCTGCTGCAATAGACACATATAGGCGGAAGTAAAATGAACACATTTCATAAAAGTATTTTTAAAATAAAATGATGTACAATGCATGATATCTTGCTCGATAGTTCTGTCTAGTGAATGTAAACATTGTACCGTTGAGAGAGCTAAATTATAGATGCTTATGTTATAATACTGGAAGAAGATTTGGAATGAAAATTTACTTTATTTTAGGCATATCGTCAAACACCTTGACTGCAACTAAATTATTTTCCTTCCTTACAATTCCTTTTTCCCAAGATGGCAACTTAGTGTGCTCAGTCCCGTTAATCACAAAATTTTCATGCAAGCGTTTGAACAAATAACCACATGGTAAACAGAATCCCCCACAAATAAAAAAATGAAAAGGCAAAGGGGAACGGAAACATATAAATCAAATATCCAGAATCTTACATAGTGAATTAAAAAGAAAAGTAAAGCACAACTGGGGAAAAAAATTCATGGACAGACGACAAATGAAGATTCAGTCGAAAAAATAAAATCAAATGTTTACACTCACCACGAAAGAATAAAGCTAAACTAAACAGACTTGGAAATAATCTCTTCCTTCACTTTTAGGCTTTATGATATTATCCCGTCGATACATGCATGTGTATTTTGGAGGGTGTATTCATAGATGTTCTGTATGTACACAAAGAACACGGGATACACAGAACAAGCAAATACAAAGAAAAACTAAAAATTAAAAACTAAAAAAAAAATAAACCTTTTTGGAGAGAAGGGGTGGGGTGGGTTGGTGAGGATAGGAAAGGTTGAGAAGCAGTTTTGAAAAATATTTTACCTTCTCTTAATAAGTAAAACATTTTCCTCCAATTGGAGGAAAATGAGTTCATAAGAAAAATATTTTCCAAAATATCTAAGCCAACCAAAATTGGAAAACATTTTCCAGAAAATATTTTCCTACATACCAAATACACCCCAAGTGTTGCAATAATAAGTCGTGAAAGAATTTGTTATACGACCCAGACCGTCACGCTGGTCCAATTTAGTTAGAATGAGCATATTTATATAAGGGGTTTTAACACCGTATACCCCTGTATAAATCTCTTTACTCACTATGCCTTAATTGTAAAAGTTACACTGTATACCTATAAAGAAATTACATCCTATATCTTGATAGAGAATCTTATGTGTGTAACAACCACTATTAATAAGGGGATAATATCCCTTAAATGTAGCCTTAATTATTGAAATCCGTACTCGATGAATTTTGAGATTCACATCTCCCCTAATTATACCATATTCCTATTTTCCATCAAAACTTCATTTTTGATATTGTATGCTCTATACTTTCAAATCTTCCCATATATTTTGAACATACCACAATATTCTAATTTGAAATACAATTCAAATAGAATATATCACAATATTCTAATGACAAGTACGCTATCTAAACCAAGCATATCACAGTATTCTAATTTAGAATATATTATTTAAACTAAATATACCATAGTATCTTAATTTACAATACATTATTCAAATACTATAATATTTTAATTTGGAATACAACATTCAAACTAAATATACCATAATATTCTAATTTGGAATACAATATTCAAACAGAACATACTATAATATTCTAATTTGGAATATAATACTCAAACAATATTTTAATTTGAAATACAATATACAAACCAAATATTCTACAATTTTTTAATTTGAAAAAATCTGGTTTGAATACTGTATTTCAAATTAGAATATTGTCGTATGTTTGATTTGAATATTGTATTTCAAATTAGAATATTGTGTTATGTTTGATTTGAATATTCCAAATTTGATTATCATCGTTGTTTGATTTGAATAATGTATTTTTCATTAGGATATTGTGGTGTATTGGCTTGAATAACATATTCTAATATTTTATTTAGTTTATATATTATATCCCAAATTAGAACATTGTCACGTTATTTTATTTTTCTTTTGATTACATAGATGAAAGAGAAGAAAAAGATTATGGAGGACTTCATAGAGAAATTTCTGGGGCGGACTTTTTGGTGAACATGTATAATTCTAATTCCTTAAAACGTGGGATGATGGAGTGTTTTAAGGGATTTATTAAGTTGGAATGAGAGATAATTTAGTTCCTTAAAAGGTGAGATTTATTTAATGGCATATAATGATATTAAAAGTTTAAAAAGTAATAAACTTTTATAAAATAGGTATACAACGTAAAATAAATATTTCAAAGGTATATGGAGTTAACTAGCATTTCCAGTGGGCATACCGTGTAGATTACTCTTTATATAATATACAATACTATAAGAACCTAATGAGCAACAAAGTAGAGCAGTACAGTCCAGCAAGAACAACAACAACATTATATAGAAAAAATATACATAAATACATAATCAGTGTATTTTTTGTATATTGGCTAATGAATGTAATTATTTTTGACCGACTAATCAAATGTATGCAACTTGCCCTAATTTTAATGGGAGAATTACACAAAAATACAGTCCACCCATATACATTGCATCAGAATAACCCAGTTACAACTTTGCAAATCTGTAGCCCATTAACAATAGGCCAAAGTTCGAAAAATAAGCATTTTTTCTTTTCTTTTTTTATTCTGCAGATCTTCAAGCACAAAAATATTGTGATTTTTTATTCTTCTTCCCCAAGTTTGTATATATTCCTATTCCAGCTACAAAAAATTCAAATTCGTATATAATGCAACTTGAAAAACTTAAATTTTCCTCTTTTTCAAGTTCCAAATAGCATAAATAAAAAATAAAAATTGAAAAAATTATTGCATGTTCATGATTTGGCAAATAAATCAACAAAAAAAGTCGATTTGTACATAGATTAAACATATAAAATTTTAATTTAGATTTAACTGCACATGTGCATTACATATATAATGATGTATAACTTTGTATAAACTTGTATATACAATACCTAATAATGTATATCAGAAAAATAAGACAAAGAAGAAGAAAAATAGAAAGTGTCAAACATCCATAGATGCCTATTATACACGTATAACGTATATACACACTTATACATTAAAAATATAGATAATTTATACAACATTGTACGCAGATATACACACTTATACATATTTATACAATATTATATAAGTGTGTATAAACACTACCTATACAAATTTACACTAGAAAAAACCTTCTGTCCATCACCACATTACAGATTTCGGTGGTTGTTGGTGTTGAATTTTTCCGGCGAGTTTTTGGCTTCAAATTTGGGCTTCACCAGTTGCAAAAGATGAAACAAAAACTAAGAGAAATAAGAAAATATGAGACGAGGTTGCCGGAGATGCTCTTTTAGTCAAGATCTGATAGTTTTAGGCCAGATCTGATAGTTTTTGGACTGATATGCCAAATCTTATTGCGGTTCCTTAACCTCCTTTTGTCAATTAACTCAAAAATCGAAATCGAATTGACATAGAATGCGAGTATTAAAGAGCCATTGTACACATCTATATAGAGCACAAAAATTACTGAAATGTTACAGTATTTGTTTTTGTTTCTTCACTTGAGTGCTCAAAAGCAATTATCACGAGTGTATAAAAAAAAATCCTGTAATTTGTAGAGATAAGGAAGGAGAGGCGAGTGAAGAGAGATTGAGTATGCTGAGAAAGAAGAAAGAAGAAAAGAAAAAAACCCTAGAAGTATGTCTTTAATAATGGGCTAAAGAATGAAAAGTTTCTTTCAAATTATATGCAACATGGGCCATATCGGGTAAAGACTTCAAACCTAGGCCATTTTTAGTTGGGCTGCTGGGCCAAGTGATTATATCCGTAATTCTTTCAATTTTAATCTACAGATATTACCCTCGTACATACAAATTAAGGAGAAAGAAAAAAATTGTGTTCGTCAAAGGAGAAAGAAAAAAATTGTGTTCGTCAAAGGTGGTTACAAAAGCCATATAGAAAAAGTAGGACGAAAAAAAGAACACACGAACTGATTGTTGTTGTTTTCTCATGGTCAAGTACGCAAAGGATAAAATCTTTGAGTAACTCTGAGTTTATTTTTCATGGCCGATTAAGATAAATGAAAACAATTAACCCTTAACATGGTTACGTTTATTGACATTATCTTTTGATGTTTGAAGAGGAAAAAACAAATTAGTAAGGAGAGTGCACTAATTATTGTATTAGTACTATTCTGAGTTTGGTATACACCAACTTGCTATTTTTAAAGTTGCATGAAACGAGCCAAATCACACACATATCTTTATAGTTTTGGGAAAGCTTTTCCAAAGAGTTCTCTAATCCAATTAAAAGGGCCATAGTAATCTTATCTATTTTCTGGTGTTTGGTACGCAAACTAAGGAAAATGACTTCTCAATAGTATTCATAAATAATTTAGAGATAGTAAACATGAAGCCATAAACTTTCAAACCAACAACCTTCTAAACCCACATTTTCATAAACTTTCAAACCGCTAAACTTTCGAAACCGCAAAATTTCTAACCCGTAAACTTCCAAACACATAAACCCGAACTCATAACTTTGTAACTTGTAAAATTTTAAACCTTTAAACTGATAAATAAAAAAACTAAAACTGAAAAATATATTTTAAAAAAAATATTTATGGGGGGGGGGGGGATGCAGTTGGGGTGGTGGTGTAGAAAACGAAAAACAAAATTTAAAATTGCAATAAAAGAAATAAGGTGAAAAAAATAATGTTTTTTTGCGGGAGAGGCTGGGGTGGGGTGGGGTGGGGGTGGAGGGGTAATAGGGTGGGTGGTAACGGAAAAACTAAAATTAAAAAAAAAAAAAACCTTTTTTGGAGAGAAGGAGTGGGGTGGGTTGGTGAGGATAGGGGAGGTTGAGAAGGAGTTTTGAAAAATATTTTCCATTCTCTTAATAAGGAAAAAAATGAGTTCATGAGGGAAATTTTCCAAAATATTTAAGCCAAAGCAAACATGGGAAAATTGAAAAACATTTTACCGAACACACCCCAAGTGTTGCAATAATAAGTCGTGAAAGAATTTGTTATACGACCCAGACCGTCACGCTGGTCCAGTTTAGTTAGAATGAGCATATTTATATAATATACAATACTATAAGAACCTAATGAGCAACAAAGTAGAGCAGTACAGTCCAGCAAGAACAGCAGCAACATTATATTTCCCTGTTTATGCTCTTTTATCTATATCTACAACTTGAGTAACCGTCCTTTCTTCCCAAATACTTTTCATAGCTACCTAAGGATTCCTTGCTGCAACTTCTCTTGTATCTAACTGCCTGCCTTATTTGATGCAAGTGTCAACCATGTTATATTTGTGTGCTCCTATAGGAATGATGAAAAAAAGAGCATGTGAAAAGACTTAATGCATCAGTAGAGCAAACTAATTTGTGTTCAAGGGAAAAGGAGCAATTCCTCCTATCATATACATTTAGAGTACATTTTACAAAGTTTGTACTTCAAAACTTTCACAAGAAAATAAATAAAATTTATAGTTCAGCAATACCTCTTAAAAGAAAGATAGCAGCAAAGCTGCCAAAGATATGGGAATTTCATCAGTAAAATAAACATGATATGATCTTCTTTAGTTCCTTGATTTAAAAGAAATAATTTTCCAATCCAAAAACACTTTGATTTAACATTTGTCAATTCAATAGGTTTTATCAAAATAGTGGTAGTAAAAAAATTCATCTCAATCAAAGTTGATGCACAAAAG